AGGGCTGAGGGCTGAGGGCTTAGGGCTTAGGGCTTACGGCTTACGGCTTAGGGCTTAGGGTTTAGGGTTTAGGGCTTGTTCGGGTCTTTGGCTTTGAGGTTAGAAGGGTTTGGTGTTCACCGGGTTCATGACCCGCAGGACCTTTGTGGTGGCAGGTTTCGGCTCAGGGATTCACGTCAGGTTTCAGAGTTTAACCCTAAGCCCTAAACCCTCAACCCTAAACCCTAAACCCTATACCCCCCTAAACCCTAAACCCTAAACCCTATACCCCCCTAAACCCTAAACCCTAAACCCTAAACCCTAAACCCTAAACCCTAATAACCCTAAATCCTAAAAACCCTAAACCCTAGCAGGAGAGACCCCGCCCCAAAATGCAAGGAAAGGCTTCAGCGCAGTAGATTCTCGCAAGCGTTGCGATTTTCAGACAGGGGGGCTCAACGGGGTTCAGGGTTTAGGGTTTAGGGTTTAGGGTTGAGGGTTGAGGGTTGAGGGTTTAGGCCAAGCAGAGCTCGGCTCCCTGTCGGCCTTATGGGCACCCTACCCTAAAGGCTGGAGCCTAAACCCCAGGCCTAAACCCTAGAACCCTGAGCCCTAAGACCCTAACATCCTAAAACCCTAAACCCTATGAAGCCTTAAACCCTAAAACCCTAAAGCCTGTGAAGCCTCAAACCCTAAACCCTCAAACCCTAAACCCTAAACCCTAAGCCCTAAAGCCTAAACCCTAAGCCCTAAACCCCCTAAGCCCTAAACCCCCAAATCCTAAACCCCTTTGCCCTGAACCCCAAACCCTAAACCCCCTAAACCCTAAAGCCTTCAGCTTGAACCCAAGAGCTCACGGTCGGGACTATTGGGGCTATTAGGGCTCGAGCTGTACAAACCTCCTTGAACCCTACAAACCCTTTAGGGCTTGGGGTTGAGGGTTTAGGGTTGAGGGTTTAGGGTTTAGGGTTTCGTGCCCCGCAGGCTCATCCGATCAGCTCGATGACAGCAGTGATGAGGTGGTCCATGGGCCTGGGGGCCGGCTTTTAAGATCCTAAGGGAATATAAGGGCCCTATTAGGAGTACATTAAGGGAACCTCTTAGGGGTACATCCTTAGGTGTCCAAGTCTTAGCTCCCTTGAGCCTCCAAAAGCCACTGGGAAATCCAAGCTTTCGGAACTGGGTTTGGGGTTTCAGGGGTCAGGGCCCGAAAACCCTAGACCTAAAGCCCTAAAGCTCCAAGCCCTAAAGCCCCTAATGCCCCTAATGCCCCCAAAGACCCCTAAAGCCCCCCAAAAGCCCCCTAAAACCCCCTAAACGAAAAAACCCTAAACCCTAAACCCTAAACCCTAAACCCTAAACCCTAAACCCTAAACCCTAAACCCTAAACCCTAAACCCTAAACCCTAAACCCTAAACCCCTAAACCCTAAACCCTAAACCCTAAACCCTGCTTTGGGGGGGCCTCTAGGGTTGCCCGTCGCGGTTTTGGGGTTCAAGGACCTGCCTTTTGAACCCAAAAACCCTAAATCCTAACCTGAACAACCCTGAACCCTAGAGGGTCTGGTTTTGGGACTTTTGGATGTAGGGTTTCGCTTCGACTACAACCAAGAATATAAAGAAGGTTGCGTCACTGCGAGTTTCAGATGGGGGTTTACGAAAACAGGGGACCCTAAACCGGGCTTGTTGTGGCCCTAAACCCCAAACCCTGAACCCTAGACCGTTATGAAACCCGAACCCCTAAACTAGGCCCTAAACCCTAAAAGCCAAACAAACCTCAAAGCCTGAAAGCCTGAAGCCCGAAAAGCCGACCAGCCTGAAAGCCTAAAAGGCCTCAAGCCCTAAAAGCCCCTAAACCCTGTAAGCCGAAAGGCCTCAAGCCCTCAAACCCTAAACGACCCTAGAGCCCCCAAACCCTAAGACCCTAACCCCCCGAAAGCTTAAAACACTCAATCCTAAAGCCCTAAATGCTTCAACCCTCGAGCCCCCCTAAACCCCTAACCCCTCAACCCCTAACCCCTAAACCCTAAACCCTAAACCCCTAAACCCCTAAACCCCTAAACCCCTAAACCCCTAAACCCCTAAACCCTAAACCCTAAACCCCTAAACCCTAAACCCCTAAACCCGAAACCCTAAACCCTAAACCCTAAACCCTAAACCCTAAATCACAGGACTTGGACCCGGAGCTCTACGGGCCTCCTGGCGCGGACGGGCTGTGAACCCCGCGCTCCCCTTCGGGGCAAGGCCAGGAACCCTCACGTAGGGACTTAAGGGTTTAGGGTTTAGGGTTTAGGGTTTAGGGTTTAGGGTTCAGGGTTCAGGGTTTAGGGTTTAGGGTTTAGGGTTTAGGGTTTAGGGTTTCGGGTGGCGGGTTTAGGGTTTAGGGTTCAGGGTTTGTTTAGAGGTTTAGGATTTGGGCTTAGGTTTTGTGGGCTCAAGGTTTGGAGTTCGGGTTTAGGGTTTTAAAATTTAGGGTTTGGGGCTCAGGGCTTTAGGGCTTCGGGTTCAGGGTTTGGGACTTGAGGTTTCTTGAGTTCTGGGGCTCAAAGCTCTCAGCAGTTTGGGTAACAGGCTCCACGACGGTGTCGGGGGTATGGGGTAGCACCCAGGACTCCGGAACCCTAAAGCCCCGAGAGCCTAATCCGAACCCCAAAAGTTTTAGGCTAAAGCCTTGAAACCCAAACCCAAAACCCCAAAACCCCAAAACCCTAATAAAGCTCGAAGGCACTAAAACCAAAAAACCCTGAATCCAAAACCCTAAGACCCTCATACCTAAACCCCCCCCCCCCCCCATCCTTGTAGCCTCCAACCGACGGACCTTTTGGAAGGTCGCAGCCTGCATTGGACGCCAGGGGCCAGTGAGGTAATAGCTTGGAGAAGGGGTTTGGGGCTTGTGGTATGCGCACCCCGAAACCCTAAACCCTAAAGCCCGAAAACCAAAAAACCCTAACCTCCCCGCGAAAAGCTCAACGCGACCTTAAAAGCCCTACAAGCCCTAAACCTCCCAAACCCCAAAACCTAAGCGCCTAGAACCCTAAAGCCCTAAGTCCTAGAAGCCTAACGCCCTCTTTGATCCCCAGAACCCTACCGTGCCAGACCACAGAACCCTAAAACCCTAGACCCTCACCCCAGAAACCCGAGAGCCCTAGACCCCTCGATCCCCAAGCCAAGAACCTAAAACCCACCTCAGGCGAATATCCCCCAAACCCTAAACCCTAAACCCTAAACCCTAAACCCTAAACCCTAAACCCTAAACTTTAGAATCGACTCCGGCGCGGCCTACAGCTCCTCTAGTTTTTGGTTTCCGCTGGCTCTGATGCCGCGCGCGCGCCCCCCACCCCAACCCCTCTTCAAGGCTTAGGGTTTTGGGTGTAGGGCTCAGGGCTTAGGGCTTAGGGTTTAGGGTCTTGGGCTTAGGGCTTTAGGGCTCCTGGCGCGCTTGGGACTTTCAGGTGGTTTTATCTGAGGGTGTGAGGGTTTAAGGGCTTTAGGGGTGCTCTAGGGTTTTAGGGTTGAGGGTTTTAGGGTTTAGCGCTTAGGGTACATATATATATATATATGTATAGGGTTTAAGCGCTTTTGGTTTTGTTTTAGGGTTGTAGGGCTTTAGGGTTTTAGGGCTTTAGGGTTTTAGGGTGTTTTTGGTGCTTGAGGAGTCTTGGCGCTTTTGGAGATGATTTAAGCCTTTAGACCCTAAACCTTACCCTCCACTTTGAGGGTTTAGAGGTTCTAGACGTTCGTTGAAATCCTAGACCGTAAGCTTTAGGGTTAGAGTTAGGGGCGTTTAGGGGGCCCCGAACCTGCCCAGGAAAACCCTAAACCCTAAACCCTAAACCCTAAACCCTAAACCCTAAACCCTAAACCCTAAACCCTAAACCCTAAACCCTAAACCCTAAACCCTAAACCCTAAACCCTAAACCCTAAACCCTAAACCCTAAACCCTAACGCCTAAACCCTAAACCCTAAACCCTAAACCCTAAACCCTAAACCCTAAACCCTAAACCCTAAACCCCCCCCCCCCAAAAAAAAACAAAGAAAAAACAAAACTAAACCCAAAACCCCTAAACCCAAAACCCAAAACCCAAAACCCAAAACCCTAAACCCTAAACCCTGAACCCTAAACCCTAAACCCTAACCCCTAAACCCCAAACCCTAAACCCTAAAACCCTGGGAACCTCGCAGAACGTGCCTCCTTTAAGCGGCATCGGAGTCTTCACCGATCTTCCGAAATGTTCCCGGCTTCGACGCCGACATGACGGAGCCACAGTCCTGAATTTAGGGTTTAGGGTTGTTGGGGTTTAGGGTTTAGGGTTTAGGGTTTAGGTTTTAGGGTTTAGGGTTTAGGGTTTAGGGTTTTTGGGGGTTTAGAATAGGTATAAGGGCTTTAAGTTTAGGTTTTACGGGGTATTCTTCCGTCCCTGCTGCGGCAGCCGGCGTCTGTTTCACTGGGTCGACGCGTGCGCGACAGCGAGCTCTTTAAACACCTCGGGTCTAAACTACCCCAAACCCCAAGCCTTACCCCCTAAGCCTTAAGCCCCAAAACCCACACCCTCAGCCCCAAACCCCAAAACCCAAGCCCTAAACCCTACACACCAAACCCCCAAACCCCAATTCAAGCTCCAAATCCTAAACCGTAAACCCCGAACCCCAAACCCTAAACCCCAAACCCCAAACCCTAAACCCTAAACCCCAAACCCTAACCCCAAACCCTAAACCCTAAACCCCAAACCCTAAACCCCAAACCCCACACCCCCAACTCCCTAAACCCCAAACCCTAAACCTAAACCCCAAACCCTAAACTCCCTAAACCCCAAACCCTAAGCCCCAAACCCTAAACTCCCTAAACACCCCAAAGGAAGCACTTTGGAGCCCTTTCTTCGGTTTCTTTGAAGCTGTGAATCCAAGACTCCTGGATAGTTGGCAGGTCTAGTCAGTCAGTCGGACAGCAAAGAGACAATCCATGTCGCGCTGAAAGCAATGCACTTGCTGGCAAAGCTGAACAAAAACATGCAAACCGAGGCCGTCACGTTTGGAGCCAAGAGTCAATCAGAGCCGTTCCGTTCGGAAGAAAATCTGTACACCGAACTGTCGCTCTGTCAGAGACTCTGACATCGCATAGTACATTGGCAACATCAAAGGCGACTGCGTCGAATTTCTCAAGGCTAGGCATAAGAGCTTGGACCTCCCACTGCTCGAGCTCGAAAAGCCTAGCGTAAAGGCTGGCCTCGTCCTCCTGCGTGAAGGGTCTGAGAGGGCCAGCTGCCCGCACAGGAGGCCAGTGAGTAGCTGGCCCGGCGTCTGGCACCCATTCATGCGGATCCATCGGTGGAACAACCGCCAACAGAAAGGGCAAACAACCAGTATTCGAACGTGCAAGGTGTCTCAGTAACCTGTCCGAATCCCAGAAGTTCTTGAGGCAGGCCCTGCATGTGGTGCAACCCCCAGTGTACTGGCGCGCGAGCTGCGAGTACTCGTGAACAGTTTGGATGTGCGCTGCAAGGTGGGACGTGGAGGGAAACACTTGATCGCACATCCAACAGGGGTGTTTTGCGCCAACAGGCATCTGTGGCGGAGGTCTGAGGCCAAGCTTCCTTGCCCTCAGCTGGAAGGTGGCCCACTGCTGCAATTTGGCTGTGTGCTGGCCGATTGCCTGCTTCAAGGCCCGCGTTACACAAGGAGCCTTGGCAGTAGCCAAGGCGAGCAATTCCTCATAGCTGCCGCGTGCAGTTTTCACCACCTCTGGCCTGAGGATCTCCGGCGCCCACTCGGCCACAAAGCCTAAGTCCTTGTGCACCTGTCTGAGCCACGCATCCTCAGACAGTTCAGCATGCATGCACAACAACTCCCAAAGAAAGCGGTTATCATCACGTACAATCCGCAGGAAGTGCCTGATCCTTTCTGCCACAAGCAATGCAGCGGGCATAGGAAGCAGGAGAGCTCCACAGAGCTCAGCAGGGCCAGGAAAGTCCGGGTGATGACCCCATCTATCCTCTGGCAGCAGCATGCGGTACATGGACGTGATGCCTTGGGTCCACTTTTCCAGGGCGGAGTCAGTGGGCACCCAGACCCCGGTATTGTGGGTCGCTGCCGACAAGGCGATCGAGGAAAGGATTTCGGCACGTCCCTTCAGAGGGATCGCCTTGTTCCGTAGCACCTTTCGGGCAACGGGTGCGGCTGCCCGAATGCCGTGGGCCAGTTTTACAGCAAAGTCTGCCTTGGGATTCATTGCCGTACTGAGCACAGTGCCCAGGTGGACATAACGTGGCACCACCGACAAAGCGAAGGGGTCGTCTAGCTGGGGCACGACTCGCACCTGGTGTCCTTGCTTCAAAACTCCTTGCTTTGCTGCCGTACTGCCCTTGCCAGCCCAGACGATGACGGCTTCTGTTTTGCCTCTGGAGTAGTTCGGTGCAAGTCCTCTGCGGAGATAAGCATCGTGCATCACAGCGCACACCGCCGAAAGCCTATTGGTAAGGCCACACGCGGTCCGGGAGAAGACCGGCAGACACACATCATCCACCCACGTCGGATGCTGCAGTGGCGCTGTCGCCGGGCTCTCAAGCAGCCCCGCCGCTTCTAATGTGGTGCTGATCTCCACCATGGCATCACGCAGGACAAATGCGAACAAAATGTCAGCCATAGCATCCCCCGGTCTAGTGCCTGCCCTTGACTGGAAGGCCTGGGGCAAGCCCCTCAGGACAAAACAGGACGAGTCAAACCAGGAAGCTACAACTCTTCGCACATGTGGTGGTACCCCTTGCATGAGGGAATCCCCGGTGATCCATGCCATGACCCCTCGGAAGGCGCCATCGGAAACCCCGAGTTGGCTGAGGATGCTGCAGAGCTCTTCGTCCGACGTAGGCATACCGGTAAGCCGTTCCCTCAGCACACGGTAGAACGCTGATCTCGCATCCACAAACAGAAGCGCACAGCATGCTCCTTGCTGCTTGGCCAGTAGAGCCAAAGTGATAAGGTAGTGCGTGAGCTGGTCTGAGGCACTATGTGGAGTGCTACCCTGCATGAGCCCCGGCTTGTGAGACTGCAGGGACTGGACAAGCGGAGGGCGATGTAGCTTTCTGATGGCTTTACCTACACCCTCCATTAAGTAAATTGAGCGATGATTGGCTACATCAAAGACAGTGCCTTTGCCTTTGTATAGAGTGGCCATCAAGCTTGTGGAGAAGCGGAGTGGTTCCGTGAGGCGCACTTGGCACTTAAGGAGTACCGGCATCCATATGCGGGCCGCCGTCGCTGTGCCTGCCAGCCAGACTTCGTTTGGCAAACCGGAGGCACCAGGAGCTTTCCTTCTAGGCAGCTCTCTGAGCCCCCCTTCCAAGTCTAGAAGCGTAGGCACTTCACCAATCTCAAAGGTGTCCTTGCAGGGAGAGGCGAACGCAGGGCCAGCGATCTTCTCTGGAACCAATGGAGTGGCTGCTTCCAGGTCTCCAAAGTAGCGCGCCTTCACTTCCTGAGCCTGACAAAAGGTCTCCGCCATGCTGCCGTCAGGGCGCTCGAGCATAGGCAGAGGCCCCCAAGGCTTGTGCACACGTTTTGACGCTGGGCGGAAGAACCTGAGCGCCTGGTAGACCTCCTGGGAATTCGTACTCACAACGCCTTGCTCAATCTTCGCTGCAATTTCGGTGAGATAGGTGACTCTGTCATGGCGCAGCTGGCGTCTGAGGTTCAGGTTGGCCAGTTCAACCACATGCTGCCAAATTGCAGCAACATGTCTTGCAATGCGCACCGGTCCCTCCGCACGCGGCCTGTTGAAGAATCGGCGAAGCTGGAACTTTCGCTGGACCGTGTGAAGTTTGCGGTTGGCCACCGCCGACTGCTTCACGGCCGTCCGCTTCTGTTGAACCAGTGTCAGGGCCTCGGCACTTATGTGTGGTTTCTTGGGCCGCGCCGGCAAGTAAGCAGCTCCCTCCTGCAGGCACCGTCTGGCACGGTCAAGCACTAGCTCTGCATGTTGGTGCACATTTTGCCCCCAAGGCACCTCCACCCGTGCGGCTTGGTGCATTGCCTCCACATACAACTCTGAGGGCAGACCCCGAAAGGTGCGTCGCGGCGGAGGGCACTGCGTGCGGCCAGCGGGGGGAACGCTGCAGTTGATGATGACAGCTGTGTGATCCTCATGTGCATTGAGCAGGTCAAAGCTATTGCCTGGAGAGGCCCAACCTCTAGCCCCCCAGCCCATGGGGGTCAGAACATAGTCCAGTCTGCTGTTCTTCCAGGTCTGCGCCGCGACCCCGCGCATCACATGATGCTGCGTGTTCATCACGCAGAGGTCCCACTGCACTGCAAGCTCAGTCAGTAGGTCTCCAGCAATATCCTGTTGACCTATCCCCAAGTCCCCCACAAATGGAGGCCTGGGATGCTCAATTTTGGCGTTTGCATCTCCAAGCAGAACACAAGGCCATTGGTCAAGGAAGGGGCTGAGAACAGATCGCAAATGTGCCCACCACTGCTTAATCTGCTGAGAAGAGCACAGGCTATGTGGCCCTCGAAAAGAAACAAACATGGCCTTGCAACTTGGATGCTGGCACGCCACTGCCAGCAGGGTGGGCTCCTGAACAAGCACGAACAGATGCTCCGGGCAGAGAGGCACACTGCCGGTTTTGGGCCCCCAGGCAACCCCCGAATTAAACCAAAGGGCAACACCGTCAAACCCTTTATTGGCTCCCGCTTGGAAGGTGATCCACTTGCCAGGAACGTGGCCCCCCTTGCATCGGGTCTCCTGAAAGGCCATGACATGGATGCCCAATTCTGAACCCTGTTGTTTGAAGGCCGCTACTTTGCCTACAAGAGTGCAGACATTGGCCGACAGAAACTTGAGCTGGCAGGGCTGGGCAGACACCTTGTCAGTGCATTCGACATCCTTCAAAATGACCGCTAGATCATCAGGGCTGGGAGAGTCGGGCTTCTCATATTGGCCGCGTGCCATGTCATCAAGGCTAGGCAGTGTGGCATGGTTGTGTGCCATCCAGGCCCAAGGCAACAACTTGTGACGGACAATTGCACAAACACAGGGCGCCAGGGCAGTGCGAATTTTGCCGGTGCGTCCCGCATCAGCCACCCTATCGGCCATCTCATTCCAAACACATCCTGCATGGTGGGGCCGACCACCCTGCTGCTTCGCCAATCGCAATCTTGGAATCCCCGTGCAGATGCAAGGGAACAGGCCCCGTGGACAAGGCAAAGAGTGTGGCCATCAGAAGCCCTTGCGCTTCGGCTGCGTTGTTAGTGTGATCGGCATCACAACTATGTGCAAAAAGCAAGCCCGTCGGACCTCCTGCAACTCCTACCAAGGAGAAAGGCATTTCTCCCTGATGGTCATGCTGGGCACAGAGAACAGCTCCCCATCCCCCTTTCCCTGCCTTGCTGGATCCATCCGTGAAGACATGAAAAGCGGTGATCGGTGGCCCTTGAGCCTGCACTTTGGTCACATTTTTCAGAAGGGCAGCAGGCACAATGCCCTCAGGCTGCCCCCAGAAATTTTTCCAAGGAATGGAAAGAGCTTGGAGGCAGGCACGAATGCCAGCAACACCTTCAAAAGGGGGAGGGCAGGCCTCAGCTAGGCTCAGAGGAGAGCTCTTTTGGCAACGGTCTATTGGAACCCTTCGTCTTCCCCCAGGGGTGGGGATGCTGGTAAAGGTCGCAGCCGGCGCCGGCAAGTCGCTGTTGGCCTGTACTTCATCTCGCGCGGGACTGGTTCTCCTGTTCACCGATGCCACTCACATTGGCAGCTGGATCCTTCTCTTCCTTTGATGAGGGGGTGCTGGGCACAGGTGGTGTAGGCGGTCTGACCAGCATGAACATGTGCTGCAGGTCAGCAAGGTGCTGATCAAGTGGATTTCGTAGGGCTTGACTGGCAGACCTAAGGATCAACCGCCCTCTATCCATCGCATCAACAAAGGCCTCCCCAACACCCTCACATCTATCATAGCTAGGATCAATCCTGCTCAGTGACTCCCCAATGGCAAACCATCGTGACTCCGGGGCCACGTTGATGGTGCAAATGCCTTTGCCAATGGATCGGCAGTCGATCGGTACTGCCAGGTGTTGTGCTGGCGCGTCGAGGAATGTCAGGACAAATTGAGGGGTGGGATATCCGAAGACTGGCGCATCCAATCTCTGGATGCTTCGGATAGGGCGCTGTGTGCTGCGGATTAGATCCGCCAACAACCATTCAACCCTCTGATGCCCTCTATAATTTCTTTTCCTCGTTTGCAGACCTGCATCAAAAATGGTGTAGCGGGAGTGATCCTCTCCCAATGCAGTCTCTGGTGTAACACTGGCCGTCGCCAAGAAGAACCTGTCGGTAATGATTGCAAGGTCTTCCGGCAGGAGAGCAACATCGAATGCCGTCCGGCTGTGCCAGTGGTGCGCCTTGCATCCCGCAAAAGGGCCGGCCCGCAACGCATCCTGCGGCTCCAGGCCACCCTCTGGCTGCTGCATGGCAACCTTAGCTTCTTGCCAACAAAGGGCCACTCTAGCAGGACTTGCGGTCCGCTCTATGTCTTGGCATGATGAAACCCTATTCTTCCTAGTGAAGGAGAGTTGGACCATGGCCGTGCCATCTTGCAAGGAGAGCCGTCGAAAAGCATGCACTTGGCCGTGTTCTGCCGCGGCAGGTCCAACACTGAGATGGCTGGGAGCCGGAAGTTCTCTAAACCGGGCAAAGGTGTCGGCCTCGCCCTGCCAGAGCAAGTAGGTCTGGAGCAAGAAGGGGACCGGAATCAGATGCCAGGTTTGCCGTGCCTCAAACGGGTCTCGTGCCATGAATAACGACGCATCATTGGCCATGCTGCGCGTGTCTAGCACGTCAGTGGCCACGTTCCACTCCGGAACAAGTCTCAATGCTGCGGACACCTGGGCATGACTAGCCGGTATCCGCCCTTCCACACAGATCATGATCTCTCCACGCACCCTGCTATACACAATCGCCTGCTTGGCGACAGCCAGTCGATATCCTAGCATGGTGGCTCTTGCATCGAGTGCGTCTCCGATCGCCTGCGCAACAGTCCCCAAGGCCGGCAGCTGATTCCGCAGGACTGGGCTTAGATCCGGCAAAATGATGTCAACGGCCAATAGGCCCAAGCTTGGCCAATTGCGGAAAACGGCGGATCTTGGCAGGGCTGGGATGCTGGGAACACTCCACTCAACCGAGACATAATCTCCGTCTTGCAACGGACCACTCATGAGCGCCGCTGGTACCCCATTCACAAACACAAAAGCGCCACGCGAGAGCAGGTCTTCTTCGACAAGGTCGCTTGGACCGCGGTCCGAATCAGTTTCGACACATCTAAGTTGACCCCCTACCGGTCTGGCGTCAACTACCACATAGAGGTGGAATTCCAGAGGGTGCCAAATCAGTACAATTTCCCTCTGGCCATTCAGTACCCCGGGGTGTGCCATGGCCATCCGGATGTTGCCCTGCCTGTAGGCCCTATTGTGCGCAAGGTGGTGCAAGATGAGCTCAGTGAGTTTTGCTGCCAGATAGGCTTGGTCCGTTTGCTGCAAACTGACAGTGGCACAATGTCGTTCCATTATCAGGTGGAGGACCGGTACCCCTGGAGCAACGAGCATGTTGGTCGTGGAGGTCGTGGTGGGCTGAGCCTCTGAGGCAGCTGGTGCCTCCGCGGTATGAGCATCAAGCCATTGCAAAGCCGCACTTCGCTCGTGGACCTCTGTGGTATGATCAATTAGGAACCTGACCCTCCTAACCCTAAAGTTACCCCAACGGCGAGTGCAAACAGGCACAACCTCTTGCCTTGCGACAGGCTCTCCCCCTTCGGGCGGGCCAGAGGCAGTCGCGGGTTGTCCTTCGCCCACTGTGACCATTGAGCACAGGTCGGCGGGAGGGAAAAAGGGGGCATACCATGCGCGGCCAGGAACAGGTCGGCTCCAGGCATCATCAACAGGGGCAAGTCTGCGCAACGTGTCTGGCAGGACAGAGTGGGGAAGTTTGAAAACAATGACACTCTGATCAGTAACTTCCACCCTGAAGTACATTTCATGCGGATCGAGGCTGCTGCCCGAGGCAATGTAAACCTGTCTAGAGCCCACCTGGCCTTGCGTCTGGTAAAGTTGCACCGGGCCAAACGCTGGAACAATCCACTGCGAAACCCATGCAGCAACGTCAGGCATGCTTGTAGGGCGGCAAGATGGCGCAAGCACCGTGAAGTGATCCCCTGCAATGACCACCCCTCTTACATCTCCAACAAAGCCCATGTTCCTGAGCCGGTGATCAAGCGTGTTCTCCCAGACCGTAAATGCTTCAGACCTGAGATGTTCAGCATCAGCCTCGGCCTGTTGAGGCAGATCCGCGGGGACAAAGAACGGGATTGCAAGGGCTTCAAGGCCTCTTATTCTTCCGTAGAAGAAGTCAACAGACCGGACATCAGGAGCATGCGACGTGATGCTGAAGGCAATGTATGCTCCGCCATACACACTGCATGCCTGCTCCCACTTTCGCCCATTAAGGAACACATGCTTGTATTGCCTTGGGAGGTCCCTAATGCAGCTTGCATCAGCAAAGATCGGAACCTGTTGGAAGCTTAGAACGCCACCCGGCCTAAGGTCAACCCAAACCCCTGCAGTGTCCCTGTTGGAGCTCAACTCCATGGAGATGAGGAGCTCTCTCGCAGCTACAGTAGCAGGCGGGTGAACATGGGCAATTCGGACAATGAGCGAATCACTCACAGTGTGTTGCTGCAAGACTCGTGTCCACATGCTTGCCAAAATCACAGCCATGGGCGGATCCCCTTCGAAGTCCTGTTGAAACAACCCGAACCCTTGAATACCCAACCAGACCCTGAGAGGGTTACGGGGCACAAGCCTAAGCCTCTCTCTCCGAGGGTCTTCCATCTCGAAGGGCGTGGTGGTGGTAGAGGAGGTGGTCCTCATAGTCCGGCTCGCGGCCGCCCAATCACTTGCCCCAAAGAAGCGGGTCATGGTGAGCAGTCCTGGGAAGTGCCCGGCAACATCAAAGGAGTCCATCACAGCATGCTGTCCCTCGTGTGCAGGAACGACAAGACCCCCATTACCTGCTTTGGTGACAAAGAATTCCACCGGGGGTTCAGCAAGGGCCAGCTCAAACAACTGGTCAACAGTCGCATTGACAATGTTCTCCTGCATGGAGGCGCTGTGAACCTCAACCGGGATGGCAACAAATGACAACAATCCCGGCCCAAACACAGGTCTGAAATCAGCAAGAACCGTGATCATGCTATGACCCTCTTCATCAATCGGAAGTGCAAGGCAGTGCAAGTCAACCCCAGCAATGTGAGGTTGCAGAGGCAGCAGGGAAGTTCTCCACCTACTGACTCCTGCCCTCTGGCCGAGATGGGCAGACGCTTCCTGTGCCATGTCACTAGGCGTGATGGTGTTGGGATGGGACTGCGTCCAAGGTCTGTGGCCCGGGGAATGGTAAGCCACCACAATGTCACCTTCAGGCGACTCATAGTCCACAGGCGAGAAGAATGGCGTGGTGCTCTCGGCCGATGAACTAGACGTACTCTGCTCAGGCTGCTCTAACAGAAAATTATTTCTGTTGCCAATTCCTCTCGCAATCATTGCAAAAGAGGGCTGCAGAGCATGCGTCTGGAAAGGATCTGATTGTGTCCTGTCAGCAGGGTCAATCCTCAGGTTGCCTCTGGCCACGGCAGGTGCAAACAATGGCGGAATGGTGACGCAGCTCATGCTGAGCCTCAACGCAGCCTCGTAGGAAGAGGCATCCACCGGAAGACTGAGAGTATGGAACCCAAGCTGGAGCGCACGCAGATCAACCGGAACATTAACCCAACCCACCGGAACGTTGACAGACCTGATCACAAATTGGATTGGGGGCAGGCCCTCAAAAGGGTACTTCAGCATGTAGATCGCTGCAACAGGTTGGTCTCTAGTGCGCCTGGCAGCTTCCACTGCATAGTCCTGCACTGTCCATTCCGGATGAGCATCCAGAATGCGCATATGATCCACCACATCGAACAGTGTGAACCTTTCCTGCGCAGCATGTTTTCCCATGAACTTGCCTGATCTAGCGAGGGCAAAGGGTGTTAACAACACCAAGTTATCTTTTGCATTGCCTACTCCCGCGATCGTGGTGACATGCTCGTACGACGAGGAGCTCGAGGAGCCCTCCGTGCCCTTGCTTTGCGTCCCCATAGAGGTGTCTGGGCTGAGGGGACAATTCACCGGGCCTCGGCAGTGTGTCTGGTCCGGGTAGCTGCTTAACCCCTTATTACTTAGGGCAAGGCAGGGTGCCGGGTCAGGGTGCCTATTCCTAAAAACCCCAGGACAGGCAGTTTGGGCAGGGGCAGTGTGTTCATGCTCCGAGCAGTGGAGCCACAGGGCGGCAGTTTGTCTGTAGGAACCCAAACAACTAATCAACGCCCGATTCCAGGAGTACCAAGCTCTCAAAGCAACGCTATCTGGAAATTGCCCTTCAAAAGAAACGGCTTTGCCGAGATTGGAACTGCTACTCTTAAGACAGGACTTTGTACAATGTACAACCCTTGTACATGGTGTTGAAACCTTGCGTCGGCACTGGACCTGAAAACGATCACTGCAAATCAGAGCACTATCCATCAGCTCGAATGCAGGTTCAGATTCAGATCGAATGCTGGAAAAGATATCAACAGCAGGTTCAGGGGGATGAAGAAGATGACGATCACCCCAAGTCAGCTTCTCCTCCTCGATTCTGGGATCACACGAAAAGAAAAGATCCATTCCAGGAAGGTGCATATCACTCTCAATGCAGCATGCCAGAATGTTAGCATACAAGGGGGAGACATAGTCCAGCTCGTCCATGACGCTGTGCCAGGTAGGTCTCTCCTCCTCTTCGCAACCACCATAGGTGTGCGGAAACCGCCTGCGAGGTCCCGTGAGGCTCGTTCGCAGGCTTAGCCAGGGCCCAAAGGTGGCGCAGTTTTGGCCATCTTTGGTGGTCCTTCGTCCACTTGCTCCTGGTCCTTGTCTTTTTGTTTCCGTCGTGGCGATCTGGAAACATCTCTTGCCACTCCATCCAGCGCCGTGTCCTTCGCTGCATTGAGTGCCTGCAAGATGCCAAGATTCGTCCTCTCGACCTCTTGCATCTGGGATGCACGCTGCTCTTTTCGCACATCTGCGGCTGCATCTGCAGCAGCTGCAGTGTCGACCTCCTCCTCCACATCGACCACTTCTTCCTTCGAATTGCCAGCTCCTGCCGTCCGAGATAGCAATGCTGAAGCGTCCTGGAGCTTGGTCTCCCATGAGGTCTCGGCTTCTTCCAGCTGCGAAATCACTCTCTGGCGTTCCTCTAGCTGCTTCTGAAAAAGCGCCGCAAGATTGGCCACATACTGTGCCCAAGCTGAGTCGTAGGCCTGCCGATCGGCTCTGGCCTTCTCCAGTGCACCCTTCGCCTCTGTCTGCTGTGAAACCAACCGATGCAAAGTCTTCCCTTGAACTCGGTGGTTCTCCTCTCGATAATGGCTGATCATCGTCGCCAGCTCTATCGGAGTCTCTTCCGATTGCTCCATATGGGCAACCAGTGCTGCCAGCAGTTTCTTGTCTCCTTCGGGCGCCTGCTGGCTCGTCCCAGCTCCCTGAGCCTTCGGCAGAACAACAGTCGTAGATGTGGGCGGAGGCGGCAAAGCTGCGATATCGGGTGCCAGCGTAGTTGCTTTCCCTTTCTGTTGAGAGCCTTTGCCCTCGCCTTTGGGCTTGCCCTTGGGCGCCCCTTCTGGTGGCTTCCTCCTTCGCGGTGAAGCCCTTCTCCGTGGGGATTGTGACCACCTGTCTGCCTCTCGCTGCCAGGGGGCCTTCTCCTGCTTCTGCTGCGTGTCCGAACCACCATAGGACTGCCAAGGAGAGCCGCAGTCGCCGCAGTACCATGCGTTTGCCTTGTTCTTTCGGCCACATTCGCATTGCCACGGTTGGTTCATCTCGTCTTCTCTCAGCCTTTGAACCAGCAAAGGAAGCGTCGATCTCGAATGGTGGTGTTGCAACTGTCTTTCCGCCAGATGCACTTTCGGATGCGAGGGCGAAATCAATCCAGAAATCACACACCTCAGTGTTGTTCGAGCTCTCGTTCTCGATCTTCTGGCCCTTCTGTGAGAAGAGGACTCCCTTCTCTGTGGGATTGATGAGGTAGTCGTCGTTGCACCACCCACCAAAATTCACCAGCCAGACAAAGGTAATAAAGCCACAGGATAGCGTGAAAAAAACGTCCAGCGACGATTCCACCACACATGCACTGACACCACCAGAGTGTAAGAGTAGTGCGGTCTGAAAAAAGACCTTGGATGCCAGCCACACCAGGGCGAACCAGATCAGTGTGGGGCAGAGCCAGGTCCACGTATTGGGCTCAACGATGGAAGGTCCCAACGGAGCAGTGTTGTCGTGGGCAACTGTGATGCCACACCAGGGTTTTGCAACAAGGCCAGGGACCACGGGGGAAACTACCTGAACCTTGAAAGAAAACACCTTAGCAGGTCTAGGGTTTAGGGTTTAGGGTTTAGGGTTTAGGGTTTAGGTTTAGGGTTTAGGGTTTAGGGTTTAGGGTTTAGGGTTTAGGGTTTAGGGTTGGTGAGTTAAGAAGTTTTTTGTCTGAGAGGTGGCAACGTAAACCCTAAACCCGAACGACCCTAAACCCTCAAGTCGCCACCCTAAACCCTCGTCCTGTCGGTTTCCAGCTCGGATTTGGTTAGGCTTTAGGGTTTAGGGTCTGGGGTTTACGGTCTCGGGTATGTTCATACTTCTTTCCCTGGGTTATTAAGACTAGGATGCCCAGTAGTGCCCTTATTCCCTTTTTGGGGGCTCTAGGTTCCCCTATAAACCCCTTTAAGCAAAAAAAGTGCACCCTTTTTAATCCTAGGTTACTGTGCAACCTAGAAAAGGATCCGTGTTTTTGGGCCTTTGCGAAAAGTTGCAAGGAAGCCAAAATCTTCAGAGGGAGGCTTTAAAGGGGGCCAGCCTGTGCTGTGGAGGTGATGAAGAAACCCTAAACCCTAAACCCTAAACCCTAGACACTAAACCCTAAACCCTAAACCCTAAACCGCCCAATCCCCCAAACTTGCGGCACACTCCGTACCACAATGACCTGAGAGAAACCTCATGGCTCAAGACAGAACACCCCGGCGTACAGTTGAGGGCGGAAAGAAGTATGCCTCCAATCCTCCAAACCCTAAACGCCCCCCCCCCCCCCCCAAAGAAAAAAAATGAAACAACAGAATAAAAATATAAAACTCGAGGGTTTGGGGCTTAGGGTTTAGGGGTATTTAGGGGGGTGTAGAATCTCCCGGCCAACTTCTTCTCTGTTGGCACTTTAGCCCCCTTTTGAAGAAGCCATGGCCATGGCCCTGCCCTGCCGTGCGAAGGCCGTGGGGCTGTGGTGGAGCTGGGGCGTTTTTTTTTTTTTAAATAGGGTTTAGTGGTTTAGGGTTTAGGGTTTCGCGTTTAGGGTTTAGGGTTTAGAGTTCAGGGTGGCTTCCCGCCATATAGCCTTGAGAAATGGTTGCGTCTGTAACTGGCGCCCTTGTGGCACCCTTGTGTACCCATTACTTGAGAAGGCCTAGATAGGGCACCTTAAAGTCTTTACCTGGGTGGCCCCCGATCCCCGAACCCCTAAACCCTAAACCCTAAACCCTAAACCCTAAACCCTAAACCCTAAACCCTAAACCCTAAACCCTAAACCCTAAACCCTAAACCCTAAACCCTAAACCCTAAACCCTAAACCCTAAACCCTAAACCCTAAACCCTAAACCCTACAGAAGCTGTCCCTCAAATAATCCCGGGCCCTTGGCCCGAAGTCCTCAACCCGAGAGACCCGATTTCTGAGCCCTTTGGCTCAATGATCCTTGAACCTTCAAAACCATTGAGCACGAGAGGTTTAGGGTTTAGGGTTTAGGGTTTAGGGTTTAGGGTTTAGGGTTTAGGGTTTAGGGTTTAGGGCTTAGGGTTTTAGGGGTTTCAGGGGTTTTAGGGGTTTCAGTAACTTTAAGCCCGTAAGTAACCCTAGCAAGTCACCGTAAACCCAGAACCCTAAGCCCGAAACCCTGAGGTGCCCAGAAAGCACCCGCCCAAAAACGATTACATCCCGAAACTCCTAATCCCTACGCAAACCCTAAACCCGGAAAACCCTACATAACCCTAAGCCTTAAGCCTGAGACCCTAAACCCTAAACCCTAAACCCTAAGCCCTAAGCCCTAAACCCTAAACCCTAAGCCCTAAACCCTAAACCCTAAACCCTAAACCCTAAACCCGAAACCCTAAACCCTAAACCCCAAACCCTAAACCCTAAACCCGAAGCCCAGTTGTTTAAGGAGTATGTAACTCACCCCGGGCTGCCCAGACGTTTTTCCTGAGCTCGGGACGAAGGCTCTTTTCCCTTAAGCCCTAAGAAGCCAACAAAAAGTACGTGGAAGTTCGTGGATGTTGCAAGTAGGGTTTAGGGTTTAGGGTTTAGGGTTTAGGGTTTAGGGTTTAGGGTTTAGGGTAACTGTACTTATGCAATCCAAGTTAGGGTACTCTGGTTCTAGGCACCACACCCCTTCCTACTCATCGTTGGCTCTGGGACCTAGCAAAAGTGAGTCCGGTGAGCCCTCAAAACCCTCCACCCCTCCCTGGGGTTCAGGGTTTGGGTTTCAGGGTTCAGGTTTCAGGTTTCAGGGTTTAGGGTTTAGGGTTTAGGGTTTAGGGTTCAGGGTTTAGACTTCAGGGCTTGGGGCTTAGGGCTTAGCAGTACGGGCAAGTAGAGCAAGGGTGCCATTTTGTTAGTTTCTCCCCACGGCTGCAGGCATACTTTCTGGCGTGGAACCACACAGTTGACGAAGTGGAGGCCAAAATCCCGACACAACCCGAAACCCTAAACCCTAAACCCTAAACCCTAAACCCTAAACCCTAAACCCTAAACCCTGAACCCTGAACCCTGAACCCTAAACCCTAAACCCTGAACCCTGAACCCTGAGCCAAAATCACCCTATGTGGCCGCTTGAGGGTTCGGGGTTCATTTTGGTTTAGGGTTCGGGGGCTTTAGGGGTTAGGGTTTTGGGTCAGGGTCGAGGTTTGAGGCTTTTTGGGGGGTGTGGGGGGTTGAGGGGGGTTTTTAGGGAGGTTTTGGGAGGTTTTGGGGGTTTCGGGGTTTTGGGGTTCAGGATGTTTAGGATCCAGGGTTGGGTTCTTCGGCG